CGAGAGTGAGAGGCGACACATGTTGTTCGGCCGTCCGCGGGTTCTACAGTCTGACGCTAAATACTGTGTCCTGCATCAACACGGATTCATCACGGCCTACAGCACACTCACCCACACGCCCGTCTGGAGCTCCTTCACTCTCGACAAAACCGTAAGACACACACACACACACATACACATACTGCAACAGTGGCATAGCAACACTCTAGCAACCAGCCAGGACATGCTAACATGTGACTCATGTCTTCAACTGAACATGCTCAGATCTGGTTCTAATGACAAACTGAACATGTGTGTTTGTAGGCTGAAAGTTCTCCGGTCGTCTCAGATTGTCTCCGGGCAGACATCAGGATTCCAGCCAATCAGAGTGCGACATGTGACCAGTTCAACAACGCTGGCAACATCACACACGTCTTCCTGTTCCCACCCAGTGAGTGTGTGTGTGCTTAATTTATTGCAGTTAGTTGCCTATGCAACTTTTCACATTTTATGTATATTATTTTAATATTCATATTATATTAATATAGCTATAACTCTGGGATGTACTTAACAATACATAAGTAAAAATTAATTTAATTTTCTGAAAAAAAAAATTTTTATTTAATTTTTCAGTTGCATTATTCTCATTTAATTTCATTTATTTTTGCATGTATTTTTTTATTTGTTCATTAAGTAAAAATAAGTTAGAATATTTTTATAATATTTTATTATGGTTTTAGTTAACAATAAAACCCAATAAATAAGTGAAGTTGTGTGTGTTTAATGTGTTTGTGTTGTCAGATCTGAACCGCACGTCTGAAGATCAGTTTGATGCTCTGACACTTGGAAACGTGGTGCCCGTCTTCCCACAGTTCAAGAGTGAGTGTTTGAGTTGTGAGTTTATTAATAGTAAGTGTTTGTTTGTTTGTTTATTTGTTTGGATCGTGAGTGTTTGAGTCATGAGTGTTTGAGTCATGAGTTTTTATATGTGGTATATGAATTGTGAGTGTTTGAGTCATGAGTGTTTGAGTCATTAGTGTTTATATGTGGTATGTGAATCATGGGTGTTTGAGTCATGAGTGATTGAGTCGTGAGTTTTTATATGTGGTATATGAATCATGAGTGTTTGAGTCATGAGTGTTTATATGTGGTATATGAATCATGAGTGTTTGAGTCATGAGTGTTTATATGTGGTATATGAATCATGAGTGTTTGAGTCATGAGTGTTTATATGTGGTATATGAATCATGAGTGTTTGAGTCATGAGTGTTTATATGTGGTATATGAATCATGAGTGTTTGAGTCATGAGTGTTTATATGTGGTATATGAATCATGAGTGTTTGAGTCATGAGTGTTTATATGTGGTATATGAATCATGAGTGTTTGAGTCATGAGTGTTTATATGTGGTATATGAATCATGAGTGTTTGAGTCATGAGTGTTTATATGTGGTATATGAATCATGAGTGTTTGAGTCATGAGTGTTTATATGTGGTATATGAATCATGAGTGTTTGAGTCATGAGTGTTTATATGTGGTATATGAATCATGAGTGTTTGAGTCATGAGTGTTTATATGTGGTATATGAATCATGAGTGTTTGAGTCATGAGTGTTTATATGTGGTATATGAATCATGAGTGTTTGAGTCATGAGTGTTTATATGTGGTATATGAATCATGAGTGTTTGAGTCATGAGTGTTTATATGTGGTATATGAATCATGAGTGTTTGAGTCATGAGTGTTTATATGTGGTATATGAATCATGAGTGTTTGAGTCATGAGTGTTTATATGTGGTATATGAATCATGAGTGTTTGAGTCATGAGTGTTTATATGTGGTATATGAATCATGAGTGTTTGAGTCATGAGTGTTTATATGTGGTATATGAATCATGAGTGTTTGAGTCATGAGTGTTTATATGTGGTATATGAATCATGAGTGTTTGAGTCATGAGTGTTTATATGTGGTATATGAATCATGAGTGTTTGAGTCATGAGTGTTTATATGTGGTATATGAATCATGAGTGTTTGAGTCATGAGTGTTTATATGTGGTATATGAATCATGAGTGTTTGAGTCATGAGTGTTTATATGTGGTATATGAATCATGAGTGTTTGAGTCATGAGTGTTTATATGTGGTATATGAATCATGAGTGTTTGAGTCATGAGTGTTTATATGTGGTATATGAATCATGAGTGTTTGAGTCATGAGTGTTTATATGTGGTATATGAATCATGAGTGTTTGAGTCATGAGTGTTTATATGTGGTATATGAATCATGAGTGTTTGAGTCATGAGTGTTTATATGTGGTATATGAATCATGAGTGTTTGAGTCATGAGTGTTTATATGTGGTATATGAATCATGAGTGTTTGAGTCATGAGTGTTTATATGTGGTATATGAATCATGAGTGTTTGAGTCATGAGTGTTTATATGTGGTATATGAATCATGAGTGTTTGAGTCATGAGTGTTTATATGTGGTATATGAATCATGAGTGTTTGAGTCATGAGTGTTTATATGTGGTATATGAATCATGAGTGTTTGAGTCATGAGTGTTTATATGTGGTATATGAATCATGAGTGTTTGAGTCATGAGTGTTTATATGTGGTATATGAATCATGAGTGTTTGAGTCATGAGTGTTTATATGTGGTATATGAATCATGAGTGTTTGAGTCATGAGTGTTTATATGTGGTATATGAATCATGAGTGTTTGAGTCATGAGTGTTTATATGTGGTATATGAATCATGAGTGTTTGAGTCATGAGTGTTTATATGTGGTATATGAATCATGAGTGTTTGAGTCATGAGTGTTTATATGTGGTATATGAATCGTGAGTGTTTGAGTCATGAGTGATTGAGTCGTGAGTTTTTATATGTGGTATATGAATCGTGAGTGTTTGAGTCATGAGTTTTTGAGTCGTGAGTTTTTATATGTGGTATATGAATCATGAGTGTTTGTGTCATGAGTGATTGAGTCGTGAGTTTTCATATGTGGTATATGAATCGTGAATGTTTGAGTCATGAGTGATTGAGTCGTGAGTTTTTTTATGTGGTATATGTATCGTGAGTGTTTGAGTCATGAGTGTTTGAATCGTAAGTGTTAGATTACTAGGTTTTTGTTTGAATTGTGAGTGTATTGAGTATTTGAATCATGAGTGTTTATATGTGGTGTAGGAACCATGAGTGTTTGAATGCTAAGTGTTTGTTTGAATTGCGAGTATTTGAATCATGAGTGTTTAAATGTTGTGAATGAATTGTGAGAGTATTGAGTGTTTGAGTTACAAGTGTTTGAGCCGTGAACTTTTGAGTCATGAGTATTTGAATCGTGAGTGTTTACATGATGTTTTCATGTGGATTTGGTCACTGATCGTGTGTGTTTGTGCAGGACTCTGGCAGTATTTTCAGGAGGTTCTGCTGCTCAAATACGCATCTCAGTATAACGGTATTAACGTGGTTACCGGCCCAGTGTATGACTACAACTTTGATGGACGCTTTGACTCTCCAGAGCAGATCCAGGAGTGCGTACTCCTGTTTTCTTGATTCTCCCACCCTACATTTTATTCTTTTTCCATAATCTGTTAGGCAAAGCTTTGAATTAGCTTTGATTTTTATATTATCAAATTATTATTTTCAGTTTTATTTTTAGTTCCATTTTAGTTTTTATTTATTTATTTTTTTCCAGTTAGTAATCGCTTCAACTTAAATTTATTTCACATTTTAGTATTTTTTATTCTATAATAATACAATATATATTCTAGCTTTATTTCAGTTAACAAAATTTTTTTTAATACTTTTAGTTTACAATAATAATCGTGGGATGTACATCACAGTACAGAAGTAAAAGATTTTTTTTTTGTAATTTTTTTTTTTTAGGTTCGTTGCAGGTTCGTCTATTCCTGTTCCCACTCATTATTTTGTGGTCCTGACGAGCTGTAAGAACGACACACAGACGGTGAGCGAATGTTCTGCTGAACTTCAGACGGTTTCCTTCCTGCTTCCGCACAGGAGCGACAACATGGAGAGCTGCGCCGTGAGTGTCACACTCTCACTTCCTGTTCCTGTCGCTGTCACACACATCTGAAAGCATGACTGCTGTGGTTTCTCTGAATCCCTCGTCACTCAAATCCTTACATTTGGTTCTTTTTGCTGAATCAATGTAAATCACAGTCAGAATGATTCAGTTTGTTCATTTAGTCTTTATTCACATCATCGGTCAAACGTTCTCTGATGTCATGTGACATTTTTTTAATGTTCAACTAAATAAGCGTAGGAACATTTACTGTTTGATACCACATCATATTAGTACCTTAAAATATCATTCATGTCTTCATTATTCATATATATATATAGTGACATTAAGCTTTAAAACTAGCATCTTCGCTCTTTTATTTATGCATATTAATTTAATTTATATAAATCATACAATTCATTGATTATATTTATTATAGACAATCCATCCATTTTTTATTCAATAAAAATATAAAATATTATAAATGATTATTTATAATAATTCATTATTTGTTTGATTTCATTCTTCGGTTGCATTAAGCTGTAAAACTAATTTTAATAAGTTTTATTTATGCATATTAATTTAAATGATACAAATTATACAATTCATTTATATTTTTCATTTATTTGTTTTATACAATTCATTGATATTTTTTCATGTATTGATTTTTTTATTGATTGATTAAAAAATCAATTTTAAATATTTTTTATTTATTTAATGAATTATTCATTATTTATTATATTTCAGTTTTCATTGGCATTAAGCTGTAAAACTAACAGCTTTGCTGGTTTATTTATGCATAACAATTTAATTGCTATAAATTATACAGTTCATTCATATTTTTATGTATTTATTTACATTTATTTATTTAAGTGAAAATTCAATATTATTTTTATTTCATTTTTCAGTGACGGTGATTAAGCTGTGAAACTAACTACTTCTATATATTTTTATTTATACATTGAGTAAAAAGTAAATGTGGGAAAAATAATGAAAACACTGAATAAACTTAATTTGTTTGTGACGTTAAGCTGTAAAATGAACATCTTCGCCATTTATTTTATGCATATTAATATAAATTATATAACTTATACAATTTGATACAAAAGATTTCATAATCGTCAATATCACTACAAAAACGAGGACGCTTCCTGTAAACGGAAGCTTAGTTAATGAAACAATGAAGCTTTATGTGACACAGACACATGAGAAACTGTTCACATGTTTGTGTGCAGGACGATCATCCGGAGTCTCAGTGGGCGGAGCCTCTCCTGTGGATGCACCAATCACGCGTCAGAGATGTGGAGTGGATCAGCGGACTGGACTTCTTTCAGGACAGCAAGCGTCCAATCGCTGAGCTCCTGCGTCTGAAGACCCGCCCCACCGCCGCCATTCATCCCAAAGCTTGAGTTTTGATTTTGTGTTAATATATTTATTCAATCCTCTTAACGCATTCCGGTCCATTTTGACCTAGAAGAGAAGCATAAAAATTCCTAAAAAATGTGTAGCGCTTAGTAAGTGAACAAACCTTTGCAGATGCATTAAGACCCTCAAAATACACTTCTTCTTTTTTTTTCAGATTTTTTACAATTATTTTTTCAGAGATGACGTGTTGCATGTATGGAGAACTATTAGTATCAAAAATACTTTCTGTAAAATGAAGTTATATTAGTGTCTTTTGTAAAATATATTTAGTCTTTTCCCCCGTATCTCACACACTTTTGGACTGAATTTTGTTGATGAACATGAATATGTCTATTGATGAAACAATGCAGCATGAAAAACTGATCACTTTTTTCATCTGAAGGTGAACGTTTACGCACCTAAAATTAATTTATTTTGCTTGAAAACTGATATTTATGTTGTTTTGTTAGAAATAAATATGTAGGTTTCATAAATGTAGACTGTTCCAATGAAGAGTCAATACTGGTAATTCTCCGATTATATGCTTTTATAAATTTCATACAAAGATATATTCAAATAAAATTTCTCATCAATATTGAAAAAAAATTACAGATATTTTGCGTCATAGTTTGTTGGGTGTGGTTCATGTGTAATTTGAAATATCAAAGAATTTCTCAATTTGCAATTAATAAAAAGGGGTAAAAGCAATAATAACATTGTAACATTCAAAACTTTGAACACTCATTAGTAAGAAGTTGCTAATGTGGTTTTAATTGCAAAATATTAAGCTATGACTTATTTCCATAAAATAACGATTCTTGGGGTCCAAACGAATAGTATGCAGATCTCGAGGGTTCGTGATGGTTTAGTAAGAGCGTCGCTGCTGTAAAAGACAAGCTAGATTTCACTGATGTTCCTGCTCTTTCTGTGAATCAGTCTTCAGTGAGGTCATTCATATCGACCGGTGGAAATGTGTCATAACTTATCATGCATTAAAATGACTTCATCACAGTTTAGTTTCAATTCCAGTATTTTTCATTGTGGTCTCCAGCAAACGCACGTGTGTTAATGCATGATCAGCCTGGGCTGCTGGGAAATATCTGCAAACGTGTTTCATTAGACGCGCTCTAATCATGGTTTGATGGCTTTGGGAAACGCCGGTCTGGTCTGATTCGGGTCGGTCTCAGTCTCTGCTGCTGCTGCTTCTAGCCGGTTTATTGGTGCGATGTGTCTTGAACCAGATCTTCTGGTCTGTAGATTTGTACCCTAAAGTGAAATAAACCTCCCAAAACCTCCTTTTGGAGCGTCCTCATTTGTGAAAAAGCTGTAAAATGAAAGTAAAATAGTAAAACTGCAGAAGGTTTTCTGTTAGGGTCATGTTATAGCATGTAGATTTTCTTACTTTTTTTTCTCTCGTTATCCAGTGCAAGTATCTACAAATTCTTGCATCAGGATAAATTTACTCGAGGAGCAAAATGACTACATTTTGATTCATTTTTCAGGAAACAAGACTTAAAATCTCAAGCCATTTTGCATCTGCAGTAAATTAATCTTGACTTAAGGATGTTTAGATTTGAAGAATACTGAGGGGAAAAAATCATTATTTGCAGCATAGAAGTCCCAAGTTAACAACCTGAGTAAATGTGTGTAGCACAGTATTATTTATTATTTTGAATTAGCTTTTATTTTTATATTTTCAGTTTTCTTTTTTTTCTTTTTTATGTGCTTTTGGCATTTTTTATTTTTTTGTTATTTTTAAATATTACTATTTAGGTTTAAGTTACTTTTAGTTAAGTTTTAGTTTTAGATCGACTTTGTTTATTTATTTCCAGTAAATCCAGTAATTTTAGTGATTCCGCTTAAAATTATTTCTGTTAATTGCCAAGGCAACATTTCTAATTTTTGGTTAAAGTTTTTCATCTAATAGCTATTTTTTATTTTATTTTACCTAAAAAAAATGTTTTTTTTTCTTTCTTTTTTTTCTCCTCGATTTCTTTTTTTTTTTTATCTTAGTTTTATTTTTAATTAATGGTAATATCTCTTATGTGTGTGTGTGTGTGTGTGTGAGTGAGTGAGTGTGTGTGTGTGAGAGTGAGTGTGAGTGTGTGTGTGTGTGTGTGTGTGTGAGTGTGTGTCTGTTCCTCTTCCTGTGAAGGTGTCTCAGCAGTGACTTCATTCAGAGTCAATATTTTCTTGAATGATGGGTTTCCAGGGAATATGGTGCAGGAAGTCTGGAAGTCAGGAGGTCAGATGATCACAGTTTTCATTGTTTTTCTGTTTATTTACTATCATGACATTCATCTGCACTGCGAGAAAAACCCCAGAAACAGTAACAGCTCCAGGCAATGTGATGTGTTCTTGTACAAGTTCTCATTTACTCTTAGCCTCATGCTGTATTCAGTCATTCTGACCTGGAGACCATTTCCTTTTGCTTGGAAACGCTAGTTAGCGTTATCACATTAGACTAAAACTTACCGGCTTTGCTGACAAAGGCTACTACAACTTCCCAAGAAATTGCGATAATTTTGTTACTTTTTTTTATGATTTTTGTTCCCACTTGCATTTCCAGTCAAATATAACTGACCTACAAAAGTTGGCTTGTAAATCTCTCATTATGCTTCATCATCTCAATTAATAATTGTCTAGTCTTGGATTCAATCTTTTCCACTTGTTTGTTTTTTGATTAAACTGATTGATCATATACACCTCTTTGATCTGAGCTCATGCTCCTCAGTTTTTGAGCCCAAATTATCCACAAATAATGCTTTCAGTCAAAAACTGAGGAGCATGAGCTCAGATCAGTGAGATCCCAACAGAAACACAAAAGCTGTTCACTGCAGTCTTGTTTTAGTACTGAGATACGATTATAGTTTTGTTCATTTTGAATTATATTTTATTTTTATATTTTCTGCTTTCACATTAATTTTAACGTTTTAGTCATTTTGTTGTGTTTTTGTATGTTTATTGTAGTTTTTGTTGTTTTTAAATACATCTATATAGTTTTTATTAATTTGATTTCAGTTTTAGGTGTAGTCATTTTAGTTCAACTAAATGAAAATGAGAAATGTTGAAATAAAATGAATTTTTAAAATATGTGTTATATTTTATTTTGGTTTGGAAATAACATTTATATTATTTTAAGTAAGTATTTTTATAAATCAGTTTTGGTTTTGGTTTTTGTTTACTATATAATCTTCTACTCAGACTGGAACAAATCTGGGGAATTCTGCTGGACTAACCTGGGTTTTTAGGTAATTTCAAGCATATCACATTTCTTAGTATTTCAACATTTCCAGTTGTTGTGACCAAAATCTTTTTGGAAGATGATGTTTTGAAAGTCCAGTGGCATTTGTACCCCACTGACTTCAACTGTAACAAAAAACTAATTTCTTAAAATATGTCACTGAAGTAACATTTGGATGTAAATAATGACAGAAAGATCTTCTGGCTTCTGGCCACAGGTCAGAAATTAACCAATCACACACGATTCTGTCGAGTTAATGAATGCAGTGGCCAATCAGAAGCGTTCAGATGCAAGGCTGTAGAGTTCAGTAGGAACTCTATGATGTGTCTACTAATATCCAGCGACTACTAATTCGTAGCAGTAATTTTGATCAAACAATTAAATATATGTGTATGTAACCACTGTTAGATTTGTGTTGGATGTTATCTTTGGAATGTAAATATGGATATTTTATTTGTAAATATCATACTTTGTTCTCTTATTTCAGTTAAAGTCATGAAACTATCGAATTAAGCCAGTAGTAATGCTGACAGTGTCGTGTAAACATGAGTGAAGACGAGAAAAGAGGAACAGACGAACCGATTCAATTGAGTGAGTCATTTACGCTGGAACCGCTTCGATTGATTCAAACTCGTGACTCCGATCATTCAGTACAAGCGATTCATTAGCAAAAATCAGATCAAAAGAGCCATTCATTTGCGAATTTCGACATCGCTTGTAATGATTTGAAAAGGCACGCACGTAGTGATGGTGAAACAGAGCTTTTTGAATCTCCGAATCAATTAAACCACTGAGTCGCAAAATGATTCACTGCTTCAAAGCGCTGCAATCGGATCGCGTATCGCGAATCATTTTTTTCTGATTTCTTTTTTTTATTAAACAATACAAAACACCAAATCATTAAAGCAGGACAGTTATAAAAACAAAACAAAGAAAAAGAAAAAAAGAATACACATGCAAATCCCTTAAGAAAATTAACCATTTTATTATAGTAAAAGTGTTAAAAGTTTTTTTTTAACCTTAAAAGGACACACAGGATGAATATAGAGATGCAGTTTTCACTGCTTTAGGATGAACAGAACTTAGTTTCCATATACTACTCTAGAACAACTTTGAATAAAGACACAGATTTCTGTTTATGTATGTGAAATTTAGCTATAAGGAAACATAAATTAAGTTATATTTTCCTGTGTTCTCTGATTTCGAGTAGTCAGACAATCCAAAGAAGACATCGGTTACACTTTATTTCGATAGTCCACTTTAGACGTTCTATTAACTATAAGTAACTTTGTAACTATATGTCAACTACATGTCAACTAATTCTCAGAGTAGACTGTTAGGGTAGGTTTAGGGTTAGTAGAATGTTGACAAAGAAAGTGTTAGAAGATATTAAGCAGACAGTCTACTAATACTCTACTAACTGCTAGTTGACATGTAGTTGCAAAGTTACTTACTGTTAATAGAATGTCTAAAGTGGACTATCGAAATAAAGTGTTACCAAGACATCTTTAAAACAGAAAGAATAAATTATCAAAGTGTCTCTGTGTTCAAAACAAGTGAATGAATCTTGCTCAGAAGAGACAGAAACAGCAACTCCCGTCAACGTCTGACTTATATTATAATTACATCCATAAGCTTTTTGTGAAATTTGGATGAACTCATGAATCTGTTGCTTGACTTCATATTTAAGGAGAGGACTTGTTATGAGACCAAATTCTGCTCTCACGTGAACTCTCTCAACAAAGTGAGTGTGTGTCAGAGAGTGTGTGTGTGTGTGTGTGTGTGAAATGATTGCAAAGATACTTTTTAAACTGAACTGAGCTGGATGATGACATCACTGAATTCAATGATGAACTGCCTTTAGTGTTTACTATTGTCACTTTGAATTATTGACACAATATTTTCCTAATTAATGCTGTTCAGTTGCTTTGACACAATCTGTATTGTTAAAAGCGCTATATAAATAAAGGTGACCATGAGCAGTCAGGACGAGCGCAGTGAGGGGACCTGCTGTTTTAGGAGCGTGTTACTGACAGTGTATTCCAGTCGGAGACATGTGGTTTGTGTTCAGACTCTGGAAAGTCTCCAGCTGATTAGCGATGTGATTACCAGCACAGGCAGCTCTCTGTTTGATCAAAAGGCTGCAGTGTTTCTTTAGCTGGAGCCTGTTATTTTTCAGTTTATTCATTCACACACTAACTAAAATCACTTCTTTTCTTCTCAGCTGGAGCTCGTTTCCAGTAGCTTTATG